CATTAAGCTCCATTTGGCATGGCAAGGAGAGAGGCAAGAGTCCTCACAATAAAGTAAAGTTTTTAATCTGAAGATGCATTTACATCCTTCTTGAAATTGAATCTAACCAATGTTAAATTTATTTCCATGTGCTTCAGTGGAGTTTTAGTAAATCTAAACCAAATTCAAACTGATGATCTAACTCTGGCAGCCAAAATATTATATGCTATATGCACTAATTACAAAGGCTATCATGAGCTAAAGAGTAGAAAAAAGATTGATCTGATTGGGATGACAAGATCCCTATTGACTTGAAGAAGGCATAAGGATGCTAGTTCATTCAAGTTTGTCCTACAGAATTGCTCATACAGGTAGCTGATGACAGCTGCTTATTCAGTCTTACAGTGGAAGGAATGACACTTGAAGCTCTGTAGGATTCATTTCAATTATATTATTTCATAGAGAAGAACAGAACTGAACAACTCAATTGCAAAACCCCATCTGGGAATATCAAGTCAATTTACCACTTACTGCATTCACAGCTTAGCATTTAACTCAAAGCTATCAAATAGTCAACCAAGGAATTCTCTGGCAACCATACAGGGTACTTAGAAAGCAGCTTTGTTAAAAATTTTAAGATATAACAAAAAGGAATAGGTTAGTGTACAATATGCTTTCTATGATGATTCATATTATATAGGATGTGAATGTATAAACATATGTGTATATCAGTGGTGTACTTAACAGTGTTTGGACATATTTGGCAAAATCCCACCTCACTCTTGCAAACACATGTTCAGTAATAGTCATGATAGAAAACAAATTATAATGGCACAGAAAAAGTACAGATAGTAAAACCTCATAAATAAACCCAAATAGAACACCTTCTGCTTTCTTCCTTTCCATCTGACTGCAATGTAAGAGGACTTTGGGTAGCCACATTGTCACAGCCTTTCTAAACATGGCACTAACAAAATTTTTAGATAAGGAAAAATTGGCCAGGCAGTGGCTCATGCCTGTAATTCCAACAGTTTGGGAGGCAGAGGTGGGCAGATGAGAAGAGATCAGGAGTTCAAGACCAGCCTGGCCAACATGGAGAAACTCCTATCTCTGCTAAAAACACAAACAAAAAAACTAGCCAGACATGGTGGTACATACCTGTAATCCCAGCTACTAGGGAGGCTAAGGCAGAAAAATTGCTTGAACTTGGGAGGTGGAGGTTGCATTAGCCAAGATTGTGCCACTGCACCCCAGCCTGGGAGACAGAGCCAGACTCTGTCTCCATAAAATAAAATAAAATAAAATAAAATAAAATAAAAAACAAAATAAGTAAAAATTGAATTTAGAAAATGTTAAAAAAGAGAGAGAAAGAGAGAGAGAGAAATTTAAGTAGTAAAATAAAAATAAATAAATAAATAAAACACAGCACTAACAATTCAAGGATAGGGCTTAATCTCTAACCCATATGGAACTTAGTTATTTTGAAGACCTTGCCAGAAAAAAAAAAAAAAAAACAGTTCAAAAACATTACTAAAATTTTGTAACATTTTTGACATGAGACTTCAATTCAACTAGAAATCCCTCTTTTAAGGTGCTTTTAGTATCACTTATAATGCTCTTTTAGTGGTCTTTGCCCCACCTGCACCTCCAGGCCTACCTGTATTGTGTCATGAACGAAAGCCACACAAGGCCAGTTACAAAAGCATCAAGCCATGTATCTGTTTGGTAAACTTTCCATTGACTTCTCTGTATTCATTAAGACTCCGCTGTTTGAAACATTCCTACCTAGCTTTTTCAAAAGCACCATCTCACCCTTGATAAAGCAACCATAAACTCAACTAACTTTTCAAAGTCAAACCTTAAATGGCCCATTTTACTCTTGGCTCAAGCCACCTAATGAAGTCCCCACCAGGGCTGTATTTTCCAAATGTCGTTTTAAGCATCAAATTTCACTTCCCTTCTCTTTCTCAATGTATCTGCTCAATGTGCCACATGCTGAAATTTAAGTAGCTAATAAGTAACCTTAGCTTCCTGCCTGAATACAAAATAACTGGATAGATCCAGCCAGTAGGGAGTGAAGTATCACTTTCATATTCATAAAGGTAACATAAAAATACATAGCAAATATCTGACAATCAAAGACTTGCTAACACTTTGCTTGATTAGACAAATTTGCTAGTCACAAATATTTCAATGTAGAATAACTATTAAGACCTATTCCTAATACAGGTAGTTAAAAAGTTAAAAATGCCATAAATATTCAGCAAAATCAAATTTGTTATGTGAATCATGAACATGATTTTCAGGCATTTAAGGGAATGAGGCAGCTACAATTTATGTGTGTGTGTATGTGTGTGCGTGCATATATATATATATATGTGTATGTGCACTGAATAACAACATATTGAATGAAAGCATACATACATATATGCATACACATACATGCACACACATTTATACATGTGTTTCATTCAGTTTAACTAAAGTCTTCCCATTCTGATCTTTGATTTTTCAAATATTCAACTATATTCTCAATGTCACCTAGTAAAAATATATTCACAACAATTTCACTTAACTTGTTGTAATTTTGTTTGCCAATTATCATTTCACATTTCAGCCATTTTTCTCACAGAAAGAATTCCTTTTCCTCAATAGTGTGCCTTTAAAAGTAGTAAATTGAGGCTCCTAAACATTGGTTATTTACTTTATTAAACATTCAAAAGTGTTGCATTAAGTATCCCGTGATTAAATGCACCAAAACCCAAAAACGTTTGTCTTCAGACTTCAGAAGCTTAATTTTAAAATAAGCTGGTCATGATGACATAGTATTTTTGGCTAATCTCTCACAGAACAAAAAGCAAGGCAAGTTTAACTGTTAAAAACAGAGAAAGTAACTCATTTTTAATAATCTAGATAATATATTTTATATATTACTCATTTACTTACAAATGTGAGTAGCTGATAATTGATATATGTCATAAATATCTAAAAAAGCTGTACCTAGGTGTGAAAAGATAACTCTATACCCTTGTCTTTCTGTTCACCTTAATTTTCATGATTGGCAATATTTTCCATCTTTCATTTCTTTACAGTGATAATTTGCAGCATATGCCTTTTTTCACAAGCAGTAATTCAGTTAAAATTAGATAACAAAATCTATAAATTCACTTTAACCATGAACATCTTTATTAAATTATGATGGTAACCAGAAACAAAACCAGAAATCTTGACAGCTCCTCTTCATCATGTGACTCTCATCCTTCCCTCAGGAAACCTTGAGTCCTCTCATTGATTTATGAAAGATGGAGGATGCCTCTGGCTAAAACAAATATTAAACACTAATGACATTCAATGTCCTGTTTAGATCAAGACACCTAATATTTTCTTCCCATACCTCAAAGTACTTTTTGCATTCACTCCAAAGCATGTTTACTGTTTTAGAACTTGGTAATATGTTGTCCTCTTAGATTTATAACCTAGCACTCGACCCAAACATACACATCACACAGATACACACACACATGCACACACACTCTCTCGCATGCACTCATATGCACACACATTCTCTTTCACACATACACTCACACACACAACCTGAAATGCATATCCCCTTACAGTTTTGTCACATTCATTTCTTTTCTTTCCTATAAATAGCTTTATCACCTTCTGACTATACTCAAGGTACTCCCCCTTCTGAAATTGCTGGTTTGTTATCTGCCTGTTAAAATTCCACCTGACTCTGAAGCCCCACTTCACTCCCTATCTCTTAAAAAATGCCTCCTATTTTCTCATGTAAGAATAATGATCTCCCATCTTGATATTTCCTTAAATGTTTGAGATCTCGGGATCTGCTTCTAAAAACAATATTAAGCTTTGCTAAGTATACAGCATTTAGTTAGTAATGCATGTTTACTAAGCTTATTTTGCCAAACCATTTAAACTGCAATGATAAATATTCCTATATATTCAACTTAATGGTAAAAAAAATGATTAACAATGCCAAATTTTGGAATTAAGGTGAATTAATGTCAACATATAAATACAAGTTTATATGTTAATATACAGTTATAATATATGTTAGTATCTTTTTATAATATTGATATAATAATATTATAGTATTTTATAATATAGTGTGTCCCCAATCCAAATCTCATCTTGAATTTCCATGTGTTGTGGAGGGACCCAGTGCAAGGTAATTGATTAATTGGGGGCAGGTCTTTCCTGTGCTGTTCTGTTCTCATGACAGTGAGATAAATATCATGAGATCTGATGATTTTAAAAAGGGGAGGTCCCAGGCACAGTCTCTATTCTCTTGTCTGCCACTGTGTAAGATGTGCCTTTCACCTTCACCATGATTGTGAAGCCTCCCCAGCCACGTGGAACTGTAAATCCAATAAACCTCTTTCTTTCGTAAATAGGCAAGTCTCAGGTATCTTTATCAGCAATGTGAATATGGACTAATACAATTATTAAATTTGTAAATGTTAATACGATCCCTTTGGAAGGTTTTACCTGACAGTTTGTACTAAATCTGAAAATTCGTGTATCTTCTATCCTGACAATTCACTTTCTAGTATATATGAAGAACACGTACACATTTATTCACTAAAATATGTTAGAAGCAAGATCACAGCAACACTATTAACAACCCATGTGTCCATCAAGAAGAAAACAGAAAAAACAATTGTGTCGTATTCACATGATTGAACACAGGCAGTCCTATCTCTAACGGTAATGCAGCACCATCAAAAGGATCATGCAAGCTAGGGCTGTGCCAAATTGCCATAATTATCAATAATAATCATACTATTGTCATGGAACATATGATTGCTCCATTACTTTTGTAAAATGTCACAATTTTTAAAACTCTCTTACTGTCAATTACAAATGTATAGGGAAATAAAACAAGCAGTTAAACTAGTATTTATTTGTAATACTGTGATTTAAAGTATTAAATATGGATAATTAAATATTATATTTCTTTATAAAAGACTTATCACAAGTAGTTTGCATATTGTTACCTTCTTGTCACATAACTTATTCATAATGTTTTCATGTCTTGGTGAATTCTCATACTTCTTTCTTCCTAAGAGTAGATATGCAGCTGATGTTTCTCATTCCTGGAGCGTTTAATGTCATAAAATATGTCTGAGGGTTTCTCTAGTGTGATTTTCTGCTGTCAGTTCCTCTGGGGCATCTCCATCCTCTCACACACACTCACCTAATTTCTGGAAATAAGTCTGCCTTCACTAAGTTACTGCAACTGGAATGGCAGCAGTGTCAACATTCCCTAGTAAGCTACTCATTCTATAGCTTCACTGACATTTTATTTAGATTCTGCAAAGTTATTTTTACCATATAATTATAGTGTCAACAATATTATGTGCAATTTAAAGAGCAAGTGCATTAGTTTTATGTTGCTGCAGTAACATATTACCAAAAATGTGTTGGCTTAGAACAATACCAATTTATCATCTTACAGTTTTGTGAGTTAGAAGTCTGGCACAGGTCTTTGTGGGTTAAAATCAAGGTGTGTGCAGGGCTGGGTTCCTTTATGGATGCTCTAGGAGAGAAGAATCTGTTTGTTGGCCTATTTCAGCTCCTAGAGGCTGCTTATATGCCTTGGCTCATACCGTACTCCTTTATCTTCAAAGCCAGTAACACTGCATCTTTCTGACCATTCTTCCATAGTTACATTTCCTCTGAGCTAGCTGTGCAAGGTTAACCATTTGTAACAGCCGATCTGATAAGTTGGGCTCACCTCCTGAAGCTTTCTTTGACTGCCACCCTTCTGTCTTCCTCTGATAAAGACCTTGTGATTACATTAGGCCCAGGTGGTTAATCCAGGATGTACTCTTCAACTCAAGGTTTGTAATTAAATTACATCTGCGAAGTCCCTTCTGCCATGTAAGATAATATGTTCACAGGTTCTAAAGCTTAGCACACTGACATTTTGGGAAGTCACTATTCCACCTTCCACAAGAAGTAAACACTCCATTTTGTCCATACACAACTTTTTGTTCCTAAAAGGAATAAAATAAAAGATGTTAAAGAGATGTCCCTTTGTTTTATTCATTGTACATTTTCAATGAAATCTGCCCAATAATTTCACACAGACCTAGGTTTCCTCTTAGCATTGCTTTGCTATTGCATTTTCAAATCTCCTAATCATAATCAATTTCACTTCCAGCATTCTCATGGTTTTTTTCCTTCGCTGCACTTTTTTCTTTGTTGGACCATTCCGTCCCTTGATTATACTTTTTCTTTTTCTAAAATGTCACATGGATTTATCATTTGGAGTAAAAGAGGCAACACAACTACATACTTTGCTGTCTGTGAAAGCACTAGATAAGAGATGAACAGGGACAATCACTGCCAGACTTTGAAAGTCTGTTCCTGACTATGGTGCTCATTTGCTATTAATTTACTAATTAGCAGATGAAAGAGTGGACAGTGAAGTTTGTACTTTATGCAAATACTCACACTTTATAGACCATAGATAATGAAAACTGAGCCATGATGTTGGCAGTTGGTGTCATGTGCCTCAACTGTAGTAACAAATTTGTGCATCTTGGAACCATGCGGAGACAGAGTCTGAAACCACAGCCCTGACAGTAAACAAATGAGCAAGGAAAATGGAGTCCTATCATGAATTTAGACCTAATCTTGTGAAAATCAAACGTCTGGACCTCATTAGTAAAATGCAGGATTTAAATGAAATGATCCTTAATATTCTTCCAATGCCAAGTTTCTATAATTCTTTGACCAAAGTAAGATGCCTTCTGCATTGGATATGCTAATAATAGTCTCTCATCAGACTGGAAGATGATTTATACAATTCAATGACAAGAAGATTTGTGTTCCTTTACACAAAAGAAACAATTTTCAGTAGTGTTTGTTTAACAATAGATAAATGTCATGTTTACACTCTTTGATTTAAACTGTAGTTATCAGAATAGAAATGAAAAATATGAAATCTTCTATGTTAAACATTTGCTGTAAAACAGTAGCAAAATTTGGCACTCAGACGTTCATAAAACACTTTCTCTCTCACTGTGATACAAACTATGATTTGTTATATACCTTGCTATGCAACCAGTTTGATCTGGACTCCAAGCCAAAGTTCACATTTCCTAATAAGTAAGTATAAAAATTATGATAATTCTTTTTCAAATGAATGTGGGGCTGTAGCAATTGTACCTGTATAATGGTAACCAATGAATGAGAAAGGATGAAACATTCTAATAGGATTCTGATATATTGACAGAGTAAATATATAGGTGTGATAAGTTTTATCCTTCACTCATACTATTTCAAATATATATATTATATAATAATAATTTAGTATATATGTATATATATACTCTTTATTAAGGTATACACATATATATGTATATATATGCTCTTTATTATTTATATATATTTATTATTTATATATATATTATTTATATATATATATTATATATATATATATATATATATATATATATATATATGCACTTTAAGTTCTGGGATACATGTGCAGAACCTGCAGGTTTGATACATAGGTATACAGGTGCCATGGTGGTTTGCCGCACCCATCAACCCATCAACCCATCATCTACATTAATTATTTCTCCTAATGCTATCCCTCCCCTCCCCCCCACCATCTGACAGGCCCAGGTGTCCGTGTATTCTTGTGCTTGTTCCCCTCCTTGAGTCCATGTATTCTTGTGCTTCAATTCCCACTTACGAGTGAGAACATGAGGTACTTGAGAAACTCATTCAAAGCCACACTCATACTATTTCTATACAAGATGTATTTTTTAAATTACCAGCCATAAAAAAATATATATGTGACAAACAGTCTGCCTTCTGTACCACCTCACTCCCTCTCTGTGACTCCAGGAAAGAATGACACACCTGACTGGTGAGTTTGGCAGAAAAACATTGAACATGTTCTACCCCTTTCTGTTTGCATTTAGACTCAGACTGACTGTTAAAGCATCCTCTACTACTCCATTTCCTAGCATTTGCTTAACAATATTATTTGCACATTGATTATAGACAAGGCACTCTTCTGCAAGTTTTTGATAAAATCACAAGAAGATACATAGCTTGTGCTCATGTAGCTTACCAACTGGCAAAATTGGAAATTCAAAAAGAGCAAACATGTTTCCTCCTTAAAAATATTTTATGTCGGAGGTTGCGGCTAGCCGAAATCACGCCATTGCACTCCAGCCTGGGTAACAAGAGCAAAACTCCATCTCAAAAACAACAAAAAAATATTTCAAGTGTTTGAAGCCCATCTTCCTAGACAATTCACTTTTGTTCTTGCTTTCTTTGCTTGTAAACTGAAGTGAGACTTTTCTCCCGCAGTAAGACATCACAATAATTTTTATATTTTGAGAAGTTCTCCCAGGATACAGTGTTTATCCTTATACATAAGCATTTTTTAAGTACAAGTACTTATTTAATGCTCTTTCCCAAAGAGATTCTCTTAGAAAAACATTTTAAAAATACATTTTGTAGAAAGTAATATATTTCTGTTAAATGCTCTACTTCAATTCTACTCCCATTGGGACCTTAATAAGATCTTATTGGTGTATGTGTTTAGTATTATATAATTCTGTTGGCATAAATCATTTTACATTTCTTTTATTTTCTGATACATGATGATTAATACAATCCTATAGGTTTTGTGTTAATCATGTAGGTAATATTTTGCTATCTAATTAACTTACAGCAAGTTTGAACAGAATAGTCTAAAATCATACTGTCATGCTGTTTTCCCTAACAATAAAAAGGTGGTTTTATAAAAATATACACTCTAAATTATTCTTTTTATGATATAAAAATGCACACTGCTTGAACTGACATGATTAAATTGCCTATGTACCTAGATGACATTTTGGTAATAAAAATAAAACCCTGGAGCATTTAAATGATTTGCTACATTCATTTAGACAGGGTATTCAATAGTACCTAGTCATACATATTCATTCTTTCTGCTCCTGACAGCAGGAATAAAGGTATTAACTTTTTACAGTGTTTTTTTAAATGCAATAAATTTGTTACTTTTTTCTGTTTAAAATACAATTGTCTGCGTGCTTGCAAGTATCATAATTCTATCTGGTTGCTTGCAAGTATCATAATTCTATCTGGTTACCTCTTTATTACAAGAGTTACTTATCTTCCCACTCATAAATAACCATGCTTACATGAACCACACTTGAAAAATAATATTTTTATTCATAGCAGTGTCAAATTAGAAATAATCCATCTTACAATATCTGCCAGCTAAATGTTTCCTCTCTCTTAAACCAGGAATTTCAGTGTATGATTAGCCTATTACTCTTCATTCTTCATGCCTGGCTTCTCTCTGTTAATATTTTCTGGTTGTTATTTCTTATCCATGGGTATACTATACACATTATTACATGTATTATGCTTTAGTGATGGCAGAAGATAATATGCATGTTCTTTTTTATTATTTTAATATGCTAATACTTGTGTCTATCTTATTGTTACATTGAGCAAAAAAAAGGACTAGCAAAGAAGAATACTATAATTTTCTTTTTCTAAAAATTTTTGTATAAATGAGCAGGAATAGAAGTCTTGGATCTTTAAAGATACTACACACAAATGTTTCAGGGGTGAAAATTAAATTTCATTTTAAGAACTTAAAAAAGAGAGGGAGCTTTAGATCAGCTTAGTTTAAATATAGTCCATTAATATTTAATATTCTTTTTGTTTGTTTGTTTGGTTTTTGAGACGGAGTCTTACTCTGTCACCCAGGCTGGAGTGCAATGGTGCCATCTTGGCTCACTGCAACCTCTGCCTACCAGGTTCAAGAGATTCTCCTGCCTCAGCCTTCCAAGTAGCTGGGACTACAGGTGTGTGCCACCACGCCCAGCTAATTTTTCTATTTTTAGTAGACATGGGGTTTCACTGTATTTCCCAGGATGATCTCGATCTCCTGAACTCATAATCCTCCTGCCTCAGCCTTTCAACGTGCTGGGATTACAGGCATGAGTCACCATGCCCAGCCTTAATATGCTTTTTAAAAAAATGTCTATAGACCTCTCAGAAGCCATTAACTGAGAAAGGCCTAATTGCTTCTAAACTAATTTAAATTGTATTTTAGAAGTTAGGAATTGAAAAAGAAAAGCATATTCTTCAAGAAAGTTTGGGATAAGAAACTCTAAAACTGAATTTTCAAAATAGGCACTTAAAAAAACTGGGAACAGCTGTCAGTATAAA